AGAGAGAGAGAGAGAGAGAGAGAGAGAGAGAGGAGAGAGAGAGAGAGAGGAGGGGGGAGGGAGAGAGGGAGCAATTTAACATTTACTGATAATCTGCAGCTTTGTTTTCTAAACTTCTTCGATTACACAAACGTGTAATATCTTTTTGGTTTATATGTCATAGTGCTAGCACTGCACCGGGTGTCAAAATACAAAATATCGTGAACTGTGTGTTTTTTATTTGAGCATAAACGATACCCGCAGCGCGGAATTATTCATCGAAGACCTAAAAGGCGCTTTAATTCGACGATCGCATTGAATTTCGCATCGCTCACGCCATCGAAAAAACTATCGTCGAGCTGACCTTTTCGCGCGGCAAATGTTAAACGATGGGCAAAAATTGCTCTGTGTTTCTTTCGCAAACTGGCAACGCGCGAAACGCCAATCGCCGACGACGCGATTCTCAAATGCACTTGTGCATCGCAAAATGCGCTTTACGCGAAACACAAATTGAGGGAAAAAATGCGCTTTATGCGAAATATAAATAGAGCGAATAATATAAATGAGTGAAACATTCATCATTAATCATCTGTAAACTTTATTCTGGATTCGCGCATATTTAAATCATAATTCGGGCGATTTAATAAATATTGTGCCAATATCGAATTCGAATGTAATTGAATATGAAGATTATCATGATTCATTAGACACGACCTGATTGCAACGCGCGTTTTATGTATAAATTTTGATGTATTGAAAATAACTACGCCGTGTTATGAACAAGAGGAGAGAGAACAAATATTTTTGCCAAATATATATTTCTGTAATTGTCGAAGTAAAATTGTAAAATTATAAAAATAATTTTTGTGCTCGATTCTCCAAAACTTTTATTATTTTTTGTACCGATAGATATGCGCGCTATTGGTTTTTTAACGATATAGTTGTTCCATCAAATAATCAGCATACAATCTTTTTGTAATCTTCAGTGATTAGTTTGTAACCGAAAACTGTTTGTATCGAATATTGGATAATGGATTTATTTCAACATTCAATAATTGTCGATATGTTAGCAAATTTTTATATTTTAAAAGAAATAAGATTACTACGACACGAATATATCAAGATTGAATTTTATTTTAGATTTTAATAAATCTAACGAGTAAAATTTAATCGTAAATTTAATCAGTAAATTTAATTGTAAAAAATATAATAACATATTTCTTTCTTGATTTATCACAATGCACTTTTCGTCTCCTTAAGAAGTAACAATTTAATAATAAAAGGATATCCTTAACTAATTTGTAACTATTATTGCAATTATTATGAAACATTTTATGTACATTTATTGAAATTTGTGATTTTTTTTGTTATATGATGCGCTTTAATACAGTTGAAATTGTTTTTCAACAATTAAAATTATTTAAACATAACATATATTAAAATACATAACATATTAAAATTATTTAAATAGAATAAATTATATGAAACATACGCTTTGATAAAGAGTTATTTTGATACACTAACGGATCGTTAATCATGCGAATTAATAATAGTCATTTATTGTAACAATCGTAAAATACAGCGACGATTGATATTATTTAGCATTTGTCGCGAATTACGCTTTGAAAAGAAATGCAAAAAGATGTGAATCGTGAAGCGCATGTTCCTGACTCCTTCTTCTATTTTTTTGAAAAATAACTTTAATTGTTTGTCTAAAAAAACATTAAAACTTTAATAAACTTTAAAAAACTTAGAAATTTGTCAAACTTTAACTAACTTTAAAAAGTGTATTAAACTTTAATAAACTTTCAAATTATTATTTTAATATTATGGAGTATGATACGAACATAACAAAATTGGTGATAATAATAATAATCTAGTTTGTCTTTGATAGAGCTTCATTGATTGCTCTCTCTCTCTCTCT